TTGATTCACCTCACATGTTAGAAACAGAATGGCACAAGACCCTCGGTACAAAGCTTGACCCCAGCACAACAGCAAGGGCTGCGAGGGCACTGTCCTGCAGCAGCAAGACTCAGCACAGGCTCTGGGTACCCCAAACCCATCACTGACCTCTCCATCGCTGTCGGATATAACAATAAATGCATCCACAAAAGTGCGCTTCTTCTTGGTATTGGCTGGGTTCCTCTTCTCTTCCTCCTCTTCCTCCCCATCCTGACCTCGAGACTCCAGGCCCTCTGCTGGCTTCTTCCTCCTCGGCATCCTTCAATCTGAAACAGAGGGAAAGATTAAAAGCCATTTGTTTCCTTCTGATTTAGATTTCCCCTAACAGTTTTGGCTTTTTTTTTGCTATTTTTAGGCAAAAGACCCCAGGCACTGAAACCTTATTACAAAGCGTGGTGGATTTAGTGTTACTGGGAGCCACATGCACCAGTCACCACTCATCTAGTTAAGAACACTTTATTACAGCTGATTGCTAAAAAGGGGTTTCAGGGGAACAGCACCACACACCAAAGCCACTCTGAATGCCTTGCCCCAAAGCAATGAGGCTTTCCTCTAAAAGCCCATCAGCAAACTCCTCCACAGCATGACTTCACAGCAGGTCTCCCACCCTCCAACAYACCCTCCCCTCCTCAGCCCCACACCTTGACCAGAACAAAGCAGGCTGTGGCAGCCAGATCAAGCTGACATTTGCACACCAGACCAAGACGCCACCACAGCACAACCCTTTGTCAGCTTTTGCATTCGACAAAAGCAGGGGGAAAGGCATTGTTCCTCCAAGGACACTGTCCTGCCGTTTGCACAGATCAGTGCATGGCTGCTCCAGCACCACAGACAGGGAAAACACAGGCAGTGGCAGCAGGCAGGCTGGAAACAAGACAACAGGTTTATCTGGCAGTCTGGATTTCTCAATGAGCAGCAGGCTCCGGAAGAACTCCATCCAGACATRCCCAAACCATCCGCATTAATGAAGGCACTTAACAAACAGCGAGGAACCTGCTGAGTGTTATTAGTGCAAACCTGAGTGCACGGCACAATTGAGGGCAGGTGCCCACACAATGCAAACTGGTACTTCAGCATCCCTTCCCCTGGCAGCCCATAGACTGATGGAGAGGGATGCACAGCAAGCATTAGCTGCCTGGATTCTAAAGAGCTCGGAGGAGAGAACTGGGAGGACAGCTCAGTGAGGGAGAGCAGCAGGATGGCACAGAGTTAAACAACCCCTTCCTGCCTGTGCTTGCTGTTTACCACACAGCTCAACAACAACATTCACTGCTTCTTGAACTGTGATGTAAAAGAGCCTTACAAAGCAGGTTAAGCATGACTAGCTCTGCTGAAGTTCAATTAAACATGTGCAGACAGAGGCTGAACAACAAGCCCCTCGTTCCACATCAAGGAACAGCAGAGCTGGAAATGCAAGTCAAGTTGGCCGGTTCCCAGACCAGCGTCCTTCCACAGCATCACCCTGCCTTCCTTCKAGATCACTGAAATAGCTCAGATGTGCTGCCTAGATCTAAAATAAGAATAAGAGAAGATACAACAGAGACCCTACATTACCCAGGACAGAGCCAAACCCTTCTCTGTAACACCACAAAATTGCAAACAGYCACTGCGCATAGAAACACTAAGGGAGGCCAAAATCCCCATCAGCGCTGAGAACAGCAGTGCGCTGCTCCATCTACAGTCCGAGCAGCAAGGTGAGGAATAACCACGCTCTCTCCCTACTATCTGCAGCCTTCCTTCTGCAAATACATGCACACACACGCCCAGAGACAAAAGACGATTATCCTGGTGAGTCATGATTTGCACCAAAGGTTTGCTGAGCCCTCTGAAAGCAGAATGTTGCACAAATGGGCAGTCACAGCACCAAAGCGACTCACTGCGGTCCTCCTGTGTTTGTCTGTTTAGGAATCACAGAATGTTTGGGTTGAAAGGGACCTTGAAGATCATCGCATTCCAATCCCCTGCCATGGGCAGGGAYATCTTCCACTATCCCAGGGTGCTYCAAGYCCCGTCCAACCTGGCCTTGGACACTTCCAGGSATGGGGCAGCCACAGCTTCTGTGGGYACCCTGWGCCAGWATCTCCCCACCCTGACAGGGCAGAATTTCTTCCTWATATCTAATTTAATCCYGCTCTGTCAGTTTGGAGCCATTAAAGGAAAKGAAAATAAAAACAAACACTGCTTTTGGTAAAGCACTTGCTCTTGCAAAACAAAGCTGTTCAGYTCCAGCTAAGCTCAACTCTGGTGTYGTTGGAATWTCCTCACTTTATGWTCTCCATTTTTTTTATCTTTTGCTCCAAACGGTCTGTTTACCCTCCCTGCCCAGGGAGATGAGCCAAGCCTCACATCCAGCTGCTGTGAGCTGCCTCCACCAAGGGCATCCATGGTGGTGGAGAATGTTCCTTTATCTTTAGAAAACCAATAACTCATATGCTGAGAGGAGCAAAGAGGGGCCCACACAGGGTCACTGAGGCTTTGGAGAAGCAGCCTATAAACCTTCTTATCCCCACAACAAAAGCAACAGCAGCAAGCAACTGCTGTGCTGCCCTTTTTTTTTTTTTTTTTTTTTTTAATCCACACCAGTATCACCATCTCTCCTCTGACTCTGCGATACATCTTCTGCTCGGTGCTCTGTGCTAAATAAGAGATCACTGAGAAATATCAGCTGGAGTTATGATGAGTCACCTACCTTCAACATTTAAAGGAGAGAAAAGAGGAGATGTAAGAGATGTAACCACACAACTCCCACAACGCTTCTGAAAATGAAGGGACTTGTGGCAAAGAGAGTCTCTGAAAATGTAACTAAGGGAACAAGACAAGTAAGAGATCACTCGTAGCTGTGCTAGTCTGAGGCTGTGAGTAGGAGAGCAGTAATAGCTTTTATTAGACAAGCTGGTGTAGCTGAGGGAAGAAAACATGCATCAGAGCACAGACCTCCTCTTCAGGCAGGGAAGTCGAGCATATTTTGCTTTTAGCACTCTTGGAAAGGATAGCTATGAGTGCCTGAGGGAAAGATACCTGCTTTCAAACCCAGAGAAAAAAAAAGGCCAGAGACTGAATTATCTAAATTCAGAATTATCTAAAATTACCTTTGCAGTCCAGTTCACAGACTCATTTTACAGTTATCCAGATTTTTTTCCAACTCTGAATTTAAGAGAATTTCTTTGTAAATGCTCTGACAGCAAAGGTGACCTCCTGACAAGGGAATCGCACATGCCACGCTTCTCCAGTCACATTTTTAGGGATATCCTTGAAGATCCCCAACTTGTGATTATTTGTCATTTTCCCTCTCATCTATCATTTTGATGAATCAGAAAGCAATTACCGACAGAATAATTCTAAATCTTGACACTGCAGCTACAGACCTGCCAAGCTGTGACAGCTTGAAAAATGCTCGAAAAAACCAAGCCAAAAAAAATGAATGACTCTCATCCCCGGATGAGTTCCTGAGCCRTTGGAGACACAGGCTGTCGCTTTGTAAACAACTCCCCCCAGCTCGGGAAGCAGAGGCACGACGCTCCCCGTGCTCAGGCGGGTCAGCACCACACGCTTCCATGGAAATATCATCCCCAGACCCTCGGCTCGACCCTGCATGCAGGGCCCAGATGATGCTCCGTGACCAGGACACGAGGGCTGGCAGCACCCCGGGGAGAGAGAAATTGTTTACAGGATTGATCCGTTTATAGAGCTGGCTCTGCACAGAGGGGACACGGGCACTGCAGAGGCCAYGCATGGCCAGGCGCATCCGCACAGGCTGCTGAGCTCTCGGGAGATGGTCCCTGCTCCAATGCACTCCAGTGCAGCCCGCAGCATCTCCCTCTTCCCGGGGAAAGGGAGGAAAACAATTTTCCTCCTCTACGTGGGGAAAAAGCGACCCTCGCCCCAGAACCCACCCAGGGTSTTTTCCTTTTCCCAATCCGCTGCCTTCAAGCACGGAGGGCTCTGCAGGGAAATTTACACGGATGGGGTGAGGGATACTCGACAAGCTGGGGAGATGCATGGGGGTTCTCAGGCGGGATAGGAATGGGTTCTGGGGAAGGGGATAAGCCACAGGTGGGCAAATCTAAGGGAGAGGAGCGTGCAGGGGCTGCCCCGGGAAAAGGGGAGGGAGTCAGGCCTGGCAAGAGGAGAGGCAGGAGCACCTCGATGTCAGGGGATGCGGCCAAGGCAGAGCTCCGGTTTTCGGGTTCTCTCCCCAGGGGACGGCCCAGGAAGAGTCCCAGTGTATCCCCAGGCACAGCACCTGGGTCCTCTCCAGGCAAGAGACAGAGGAACGGCCCTTAGAGGGGTACGGGAGATGTCCCTTCCCCGGGGGACAGCGCTGGGAGCCGGTCCCAGGCCGSCGGGGGCGGGGATCGGGGGTCACAGCTGGGACGGGGTCAGCCCGGGGGCAGRAGCCGGAGAATGGCCCCGGGCGGGGGAAGGGGGTTCCCTCGCGGCCCCGGGAGCCCCGCGGCRCGCCCGGGGCCCACCCGCCGCGGGCCAGCGGCATGCCCCGCAGGGCACAAGGTACTCACCGGGCCCGGGCCGCCCCGTTGCCCGCGGCCTCCCCGCCGGGTCTCCCGCACCGGCCCCGGTCGGCGGGTCCCGCACCCGCGCTCAAGTTGGCGGCGGAGGCCTCATTGCCCTCAGCCAAGATGGCGGCGGCGGCTTCACTGCTTTTCACGTGGTCGTCAGGGCGCTGAAGTGGGCAGCGCCATGTCCGTGACGGGCGAGCAGCGCCATTGGACGCCTCGCTGTGAGATGCTGGCGGTCTCACCGTTTTCTCAGTCCGGACGGCGTTTCCTTGGGAGAAGGATTGGCTGCATCCCTTAAACACCCACAATAAGCAGTCGCCAGGGTCCTGCCCGCAATTTACCTTTGCCCACAACCAACATGTCCGCCGCCGCCTCCCCTGGAGGGCGCGGTGCTCTCGCGGGAGACCGCCCTGCCGTTGCTAGGTGCGCAGGGGGCGCGCGGGCGGGTTCTCGCGAGAACAGCGTGAGGCGGCGACGGCGGCCATGGCGGACGGGGCCGGTAGCAACGGGGACGCTGCGGGGCCGCTGGTGGGCAAAGAGGCGGGTGAGGCAGCGAGACCGGGAGCGGGCGGGTGGTCGGGCCCCATGAGGTGCCCTGTAGCCCGCTTGGATCCCGCGAGGCGCGTGGCATCCCAAACAGGGACGCCGCGCATCTCGCGGGGTCCCACCGGGCCGCTGACGCCCCCGTTCTGTGTCCCACCCTCTTCACCCCACAGTGGAGCGGCTGATCCGGGAGAACGGACACATCTTCACCGAGGCGCAGTGTAAGGTGTGTAGCGCCCTGCTCATCTCCGAGTCACAGCGGCTGGCTCACTACCAGGTAGGGAATGAGGAGCCCCCCGCCTCTGCCCCAGCCCACTCCCGGGCACGGCGAGGCACCGAGCGGGGGTTTCTCTGCTTTCCCCAGAGCAAGAAACACGCCAACAAGGTGAGACGGTACCTGTCCATCCACGGCGGGGAGGAGGGTGCCCAAGGGAAGAAGATGAAGCTGGAGGTGAAGCAGGTGAGAGGAGACCTGGTCAATGTCTGTAAGTAATGTCTACAGTGAATGTCTGTAAAGTGTCGAGGGTAAGTCCYRTGAGSAGCGGCTGAGCGAGGTGGGGGTTGTTTAGCTTGGAGAAAGGARGCTCAGGGCAGACCTTATTGGTCCCTACAACTCCTACCAGGAGGCTGTAGCTAGGTGCAGGTCGGCCTCTTCTTCCAGGAAACCCRCAACAGGATAAGAGAAAGTGGCCKYAAGTTGTGCCMGSGGAGGTTCAGGTTCAACRTCAGGAAGAATTTCTTYACTGAAAGAGTTGTCAGGTATTGAAAGGGAGGTGATGGAGTCACCATCCCTGGAGGTGTTCAAGAAATGACTGGACAGGGCAGTCAGGTGCTYCAGTCTAATTGGCAAGGTGGCAATCAGTCAAAGGTTCCTGGAGGTCTTTTCCAACCGTAATGATTCTCTGATTCTGTGAATTGTCTGAAAGGAGGGTGTCAGAGGATGAGACAAATGTTGCTCAGGGGTGCCCAGCAATAGGGCAAGAGGCAACGGGCAGAAACTGATGCCCAGGAAGTTTCACATAAACATGAGAGGAAATTCTCCTCTGTGTAGTGACCAAGCAGTGCATCAGATTGCCCAGAGAACGCATGGAGTCTCCCTTACCAGGGATATTCCAGAACCATTCAGATGCAATCCTGTGCCTTGTGCCGTGGAATGACCCTGCTTGAGTGGGGAGGTTGGACCAGATGACCCCACTGTGGTCCTTTCCAGCCTCACCCATCCTTGGTTTCTATGAGTGCAAAATCCACCAGGGCTAAATACAGCTCTGTGCGACCCGCTGGGCTAGAGGCTGTTGCACAACCTTGTAAGTGAATGAGGAAAATGCTCTTGGAAAGGGTGTTGTAAGAACTGAGAAGCTCAATTGCAGGTGTTTCACCAGGCCTTGTTCCAGTTCCCGCCCTCCCCACTCAGACAGCCTCTGTGAGTATCTCTTCCCCGTTTTAACAAGTGCACGCTCCTCGTTTTGATAGTCTTGCTTGAAACGACAGAAAAAACAGGAGCAACAGCTTGTCAGGAGCATCAGTTGCATAACATCATGCAGAGCACGTTGGGTTCCCCATTCCCAGAGCATTCTTTATTTTACTTATTTAGGTTCCCTCAGCTGATAGCTGGAGCCGGTTGGTCACTAAAGGCCCCACATTCCAYTCAGCCATCTGTCTGCCCTGTGACTCCCTTGGGGAACAGATTCTACTCCTGCGATTGCTTCAGCTATAATCCTTAACTCYGGCATTTGCAGGGAGCTGGCGGATAACAGCAGATGCCTTTGCATGTAGTGTYAGGCTGAGAACTGCCTGCTGCTCCCTCCTCAGCTGGTGTTGTGTTGCAGATGACCCAGCTGATAGTGATGTTTGTGCTGCTCAGTTCACACCTTGCAGGGGACAAGGCTGCCTTGCCTTGGTCCGGTTTTGGCAGCCACAAGCTTAACTTTGTYCTTAACCTAAACGGGCCAGGGCTGCCCCTCTGCGTGGTGTGTTTGCCAACAGGTTAAAAACAGTAATCTGGTGCAAGGACATTCTTCAGTGAGGGAGARTATTATGCTGCATCATGGAATTTCTACTCAGTCATACTTTATGAACTTAACACCCAAATATCTCTCATGATCTTTTCTTAGACCCCCAAAGTAGTGTTTCTCCTCAAAACCAGGAAGCTGGATGGGGTGACCTGCAGAGGTCCTTCCCAGCTTTCGCCACTCCATGGTTCTCTCTGTGGTTCCGTTTGCAGGATAGCAAGCAAGAAGGCAGCAATGGGGAGGACAGGAACAAGTGTTGTCCCATCTGCAACATGACCTTCTCTTCTCCAGCCGTGGCAAATTCTCACTACTTGGGCAAGACTCATGCCAAGAACATGAAGCAGCAGGCCCCYAAAGTAGAAGGTATGAGTGTCTGCAGCACCTTTGTGTTGTCCCAAAGGGCTGTTCAGAGGTTTGTAGAACCCCAGGCGTGAGCTCTTGTGAGAGTGTGTGCTCTTTGCCATGAAATAGAGTAAACCAGCAGTGCACCTCCAGAGGCCTGTCTGTGCCAGCCTGCTCAGCGGGCTGGCATTGGCAAAAAGTTGTGTGCTTTTTTGTTTTGCTTTGTTTGGGGGAAATGAATCTGGCAGCAGCCATTGTCCTGATCCCTGTATGCAGGGACTGGAGTGTGTTGTTAAGMTGTAGAAACAATTCTGTCACAGGATATAGTGCTCATTAAAAGCTGAAGTGACTGGTAAAACTCTGATATGGCAAATTCCTCAGGGCTGCTCATCTATARTGATGTGGCCTCTGAGGTTCACAGACTTGGGAGCTGCAGATTGCTGGGGAGTGGGAGAATCCAGCTGGTGAGTGTCAGTATGTGCTTGTTCTGACCTTGTCTGCGCTAGTGCAGCTGCCTGTGTATCCCATCCCTTTGCTAGCAGCCAGAAAGGCCTGGTGGATGGGGAATGAGATCCTCTGTCCGGAGCAGATAGGGGTAGCCACGAGCCTGGGGGCCTGCAGCTGGTCAGGACAGAAGGAAAACACAGCCACTGAGTGCACCTGAGGATGGCAGCTTGTGCTGAMTCCAAGCTGGGGACTAGTGAGTCACTCAGACACCTGACTCTTGGGATCTTCCAGGCAGAAATTGTCCCAGCGTATCTTCATGGCTTTGGTAAAATGTGTGCACAGAGCAAAGCCACCTCCAGGATCTTCTTGTTCTTTGGAGCCCTTGCTTTTGGTTATGAGAGGAGCCTGCAGGAAGAGGTAGATGTTCACGGAGCAGTCTGGTGTGTGCCTTTGGTTCTGACATGAGAGGAGCTCTCTGATCCYTAGCAGTTTATTCACTCTGCTCTCTGGCACCCTGTAGTGCAGGTGTCTCTACCGCGCAGGAGAGATGCTTCCCTGTGTGGGTTCACTGTGCCAGACCTAGTCCCATTTATGCYGTTTCTCAGGCAAGACTCCTCATGACTTCAGGATCAAGTCCTGCGGCTGCACGGTGCTTCCAGAAACCCACTGCTTTTTTTGTGCAAGGGCTTGTGCCCATGTTCTGGCTGGGGGATGATAACAGCAGGTGGAAGCTCATTCATACCCAGTGTTTCTTGAATACAGTCATGTTAAAGAGAAATATGCAAATCYGTTGGATTTTTTTAAACCCTGAAAGTTTTCCTGGCATACTCTGAACTTACGTTACCATGTGTTCTTAAATTCTGCAGTGTTAGGAAAGAGGTAGGAAAATCTTTTAATTTATTGGGATGTCTTACCTTGGCTAGGTTTAGGGTTTAGATGCAGTGTGTTACTGGTTTTCATGTGGGTTTGGGCAAATTAAGTGACTGGTTTTTACTTCTGAGTTCTGTGACTGACCARGAGTTTGGGTTCACCCTACAGAAACAGTGCCCCCACAGAAACACCCTACTGCCCTCCCCACCTCTACTGCATCCTCTAATGAAGAGAACAAGGACATTACTGACCCRGACAAGTTCTGCAGCCTCTGCCATGCCACTTTCAACAACCCTCTTATGGCAAAACAGCACTATGTAGGCAAGAAGCACAGAAAGCAGGAGACCAAACACAAGCTCATGGCACACTAYGGCCGAACCCCTGATGCACCAGCGTCATCCTTCATGGGTGAGTTCTCAACAGGGAGGCTGATCACCAGCTGAAGAGCAGGGTGGGAGAGAAACRGAATGTGTCTGACAGGCCTTTGGACAAGAGAATCTGTGTGGAGGGAGCAGGGGAGAACTGTTCATGATGAGGAACTTGATTATACACCCTAAGATTGATGTTGTAACCCCCTGCAGCAGATGTTTTAGACTGCAGTCGTGACAAGCTTTGGGTTGCATTATGCAGTGTTGTTTAATCGGGGCTATGTCCTTTTTTCACTCTGTGCAGATAATCCAGGGATTTTGGCCAGTACTGTTCCTAGTTAGGTGATTGCATCCAAAATGGAAAGATAAAAGTGGCATTTGATGCTTAAAAGYCGTCTTTGGCGGGGACTAGCCAGAGATGGAAGGAATAGGTTTAACTGCACCTGCTGCTTCAAAGCACATGAAAGCCAGAAAGATTTCTCCCTGAATGCCTTTCTGCCTCTGTGTGGGCACTTCTATCTGATGAACTAATGCAACTCTCTCTGGAACAAGCAGGAATGTGGGAAAAAAAAACCCAGAGCTATTAAGGAGGAACTTTAGGCAGACGGTTAAAACTGTTTTGGTTTATGATGTACTGCTTATGAGCATTTGAATGTAATGAAAGCCCTCGGAATCCAGTGAAAGCATTAGGCTCTCACAGAAAACTCCCTCCCTCCCAGTAGCCTTCTGTTGGATCAGGAGGCCTTAGTACCTGCTGGATACTTAAGGTAAATAATAAGCAGACAAATCATCTTAAGATCTTCATCAAGGGTTTCTTTCTCTGTTGTAAAAACCCACACAAGCAGAAGATTAATTATTCTAATTCTTTGCAGTCCACCTTTAGATACCGGTAGCACTTATGACAAATGAGGCTCAATTAGCCAAGTAATGTTCTCTCCCACATTGCGTGGCCGTGTGGGAGATGGAAAAGGTGCTCAGTATCTCGTGTTACCCATCTGCTCTGCACCTAATTAGTGGGGTCTGATGAATGGTTCCACTTGAGTGTGACTCAGGCACTGACAGTGGCAGGAGCCCCAGCCCCGGCGGGCAGGGTAGGTGGGCAGTGCCCTTGCCTGGGTAGGTGGGCAGTGCCCTTGCCTGTGTGATTGATGTGTCCCAAGAAGTGCCAGCAGAACCAGAATATATACAGTCACATCTCCAGGGCCCTTCAGCTCTTCAGGAAAGGTTTCAGGGCTATAATCAGGGGCTGCTCAGATGAGATGGGCTGCAGTCAGGGATGTTTTGTCCAGCTCTCTGTCTAACTGTGTGCCAACAACCACCCTTTTCCCTAAACTCTCAGCTGAGACCTGACTCACAGCAGGTAAAGATGTGTTCTTCGCAAATGCAACAGAGAGGTGTTTACCTGCCTAAAGTTGTCTGGGAATGACTGGTATGGGGTGCAGGAGTGTTGTTTAGATAACTTTGTGCATGCACCTGTTGGATGGGTTTGCAACAGAGAAACCTTGACATTTATGGTGCAGGGAAGCAGACCTGAGGGTTGTATCAGCTCCTCTGGCCTTTCCTGCCCAGATCCAGCTCCATTTTGAGAGCTAAATGTTCCCCGGGAGTCTGAAATATCTGAGGTGCAGCAGCCACGTGGGGAAATGTCTGCTACATCCAGTGCTGAGTTTCCCTCTCAATGATTTGCTGCTCTGCACGCCTGGGGTCCATCTCTTCTTTCAACTTAAGGAAATGTTTTCCTTCTGAGATTCCCAGCCAGAGGCCTTCCCCAGTGAGCCAAAATTCAGGAATGCTTAATAYCTTGAGGACAACTGGCAGAATTTTTCCCTCTTAGAGACTCCTGTGCTGCCATGCTTGCCTGTTTGGTATCTGTGACCTCCTGAACTTTCAGTCCAGCTGGAGTTGTCATGTTTCACAAAACCATTGATCCTGTCTAGTAGCACTATTGTTGAGAACTGCTTTTTCTCCTGGCAAGTTAACTGATCCACTGACTGTAACCAAACTGCTTGAGGACAGAGCTTACTATCTTCAGTTGGCACCTCAGCAAGGCTTAACAGAATGCTGCATTGTGGAGCTGGACATGAGGTGTAATCTCCTCTGGCGGCTTTTTTTATTGAAATGCTATGAGCTTACAAGTTCAGTATCTCCCTCATTTTCTGTGTTGAGATGTGCAGATCAGCAGAAGTAGGAATATGAGAAATGAAGTTGCAGAAGGTGGCATAGCATCAGGTTTGGGATCCAAATCTGAGACTTTTACTGTGCCTGATACTATGAACTGTTTGTAGGGAACACGTGTGTGTTTTTTTATCAATGAACAAACTACGTTTTAATCACGAAAGGTTTTTTGGTTTAATGATTCCCTCACAGTGACTGGCTGATACACAGCGGGGTAGCAGAATTCTGTGACCTCCCTGCCTGATCAGATTGTTGACTGTTACTTGTCTTTGTTTAGGGTTGTTAAATACATCAGCTGATTGAGAATCTTGCTTGTTTCTAACTCAGGCACAGGGTTTGGCTAGCTGTGTGTGCTAACACTGCTGTCTGTTTCAGCTGGGAAGGGCTACCCCTGCAGCACATGTAACATAGTGCTGAACTCCATAGAGCAGTACCAAGCTCACATCAGTGGCTTCAAACACAAGAATCAGTAAGTAATGTTCTTGTCTAAGTGTGTTTCCAGCCTCRCTGTTCAAATCGATGACCTAAATATAACCTATAATGCAGTTTTGAACRCATGTTTCCAGCAGACTTCCAAACAGAACAGCAGGGTCTGTGCAGGCGCTCTGCGTGTCCTGACGCTGCTCCAGGAGCTCCCTCTGCAGACAGCCCAGCCGTGCTGCCGAGGTGGAAGTGCCTCCAGTTTGTTTTGGTTCTTAATAGTTCAGCTCAGCACGGACCTCCGCAGTGAACCTGACACCTATTAAACATAGTTTCTTTTAACAACTGAGATTTTAATTTAATTAAGGACTGGCTCAGTGGAGATCTACTTGCCATTCTAATCTCCCTTGGGATTGCTTGTCTTAAAATTTGGCATGTAATCAGCACACTCCAGAAACCTGGATTGTGTTCCTGAACTCGCTCTCACAGCTGGCAAGTTAAATAATGGCATCCCCTGCATATATTATTAATAGAAAAAAATAAGGCTGCCAGATGATTARTACCAAAAGTTCTTGTTCTGRAGACTGTCAATCTTRAATTTAAGAGCTTTCACTAAAAGASSTTCAGTAATGAGCCTGGTTTGGTTAGAAAGCTGCTTAAAAGGAAAAGGTACTAGGAAATCCTACCTGAAGGGAGGGCAGGCTCCTAACCAAATTCCCCAGAAGCAACAGGAATAAAAGTGGGATCTGTTGTTGGCTGTCTGTGGAATAAACAGCCCCATGGTCCCTCAGCTCTCTCTGGAGTACTTGATGGGAAGACATCTTTCATCCCAGGAAGGTTCCAGCTCTCAAACAGCATAACAGCTAGATCAGTGAATAGCAAGTGTCCCATTCTAGAGGGGTAACACTGAGGATGTTCTCAACACACACACATATAAATGTTCCCTTTAGGGACACTGCTGTTGTTGGAGCTGTTGCAACCACACAACTCTTTTCAGAAAGCTGCTCTGGATTCAGCTGTCCAGTCCTGTTCCAGCTTGTGCAGCCTGCAGAGAGGCAGGATGCTTGCTTTGTAATGGGAGCTCTTTAGCAGTCCTTGAGCTGTGCTGCAGCTAATTCTGCCGTGCTAAAGGTGTCTGTTTACACACAGGCACGGAGGGCAAGGATACASTTGGAAGGTTTTCTGGCAAGTTGTTACCTTGGCTGCAGTGGGCTGTTGCTCCACTGACAGCCTTGCCTGCTGAGCAGTGATTGCAGCTGGCACATTTCAGAGCATTTGTGACATTGTCTCCTTTTTTCTCTTCCTCTTGCTTCCTTCGATGTGCAGGATGCCAGGAGCAGTGCCGGTTGTTGGACCGTTCCCGCCACAGCAGTATGTCCGGGAAGAGTCAACTGCCCCAGGAGGCTACAGTTACTTCAGCCAAGACTTCTAGAGCAAGTTGCAGCACTGTTCTTGGAGTTGTTGGTGGCCCCAGAACGCACATCCTTTGCCAGCCCACAATGGTTTCATTATCCCTCTGGATAAGCAAAGCCCTACCCTCCTGTATACACCCGTTGAACAGAACGGGGACTGAATCTGTCAGGAAAAGGATCCAGCTGGAAGAGACTTGCTAGACGGCAAATACTTCACTCCCTTAGAGTAGTTTTCATTGTGTAATTGCTTCCTGTGAAGGTGGGTGTGGTGTGAGAGGAAGTGTCTATCTGGTGTAAGGAGGGTTTGGCAGCAAGCTGGTCGTGGCCACCTCCTCCCGGTCCCCACTCTGGGGGGCTGCCCATCCTGCTGCTGRACTGCTCTCAAGAGGGACACCAACACCCACGGGCACCCCTGGGCATGACAGGAGGGGACCTGGAGCTTGACTGGGGAACCACATGGTGGGATGCTGAGGATGGAGCGTGGCCCCTGTCCCCAGCTGTGCTCTGGTGTCAGTGTGCTGTTGGCCCAGTTCTGCTCCTCTGTTCTGGGCCAGGGTTCTGGCTGCCTTGCCAGGCTGACCCCCGTCACGTCCTGGGTTGTCAGGCACAGGACAGAGCACAGAGCCAGCCACATCCTCCAGAGAAGCACTGCAGTCCCCTGCCCAGGCTGCAGCCAGCTCCATGGAGCCAGTTGCTCCTCCAGCAGCATGCCCGGGGTCCCTGCCTCAGCTGGGGAGARCACAGCCCCGGCCACAGCCCYAACCACTGCCATCCCTTGTGGCCTCACTGGCTCCAATGAGTAAATCAGGTTCAGATGTGGAGTTGGGACCGGGCGCCTGCTTGCGATTAGGGGCGGGGAAGATTGGGGTGGCCCAATTCCTGCCTTGCAGTTTCTTGCCATGGCKGCTGCTTTACCAGGATAATCCCCCAATGCTGTGCAAGGGACAGGGCTTGTGGGCAAAGCTCCTGCTTGCTTGACCCATGGATGGGCACTGCRGTGCCTGACCCAGCACATGGTATGTTGCATGTCCCCAGTGGAGCAGCATACGTTCTGGCCCTTTGCACCCCATTCCTTGGGCCAGCTGTAGCTACAGTGCTCCCCCACACCGCTGGGTGGAAAGAGGTGGCAGGGATACAGCAGGGACAAGGCATGACCCTGCCCACTCTGCTGCCAGATCACCCTCAACTTGTATGTTCCCCACTCGGCCTTCACTGCTCCAATCTCTGGACACTCCTGTGCCATGCTGGGGGCTTGGTGAAGCCTGTGCCCCTGGTGTCCCTGTCTTACAGCCCCTGCACTGGGCCCCACATTCTTGGCTCCCCAGAGGGAGCAGCAGGTTTATGTTTGCCAAGTCCTGCCTGGTTAAACCTTAACTGAGCTGGGTTGCTCCATCAGTCCCTCCCAACCGGAGATAAGGATGGGCCTGGTGGGACACACTGCCCCAAACCTGGCTGCTTGCCTCCAGGACAGGACCCAGCTCCTCCAGAGCATCCTGCCCAATCCGGGGCAGCTGCCTGCCCCTCCAGCTTGGCCCCTCCTGCTTCTRTGGGTCCCCAGTGATGCGAGTGCAGCAGGTTGTAGCTGGGGCTGGAAACTACMATGTCGAGGCCAGTGGGAGTGGAAGCTCCTGTGCTGGGGCTCACCTCTCTGCTCCAGAGCTGACCTGTGCCCTCACTGCCAGAAGGTTCACATCACCCCAGCACACGGCATGAGCCTGCTCAGCTTCAGATCCCATGCACGTAYGGGATGCAGTGAGCTGGGGCTTCCGTGCCCCAAACAAGAGCCGTTCAGGGGAGGCCAAGAGAAACTTCCAGGAGGAAAGAGGCCCCCAGGCTCCAGCCCCCCCAGGAGCCACCGTGCCGCACGGGCTCTGGCTGGCCACAGGTGCCACCGCAGCGGGAGTGGCGGTGAGTGCTGGGGCCAGGCACAAGGGGCGGCTGTGTTCCCGCAGCTCCGGCTGCCTTCCAAGAGCAATATTGTTGGCACCAGGCAGGCTCCCTGTACCGGCAGCACATACATGGGCCTTTCATGAGGGGAGTGGGGATGATTTACTGCCTGAAGGAAGGGGCAGGGGCGGGAGGATGGAGCCCCAGCATGCCGGCGCCCAGCCCCTAGTGCGTGCTGGGGGGCCCCACACGTGTAAGCAAGGCCCATGGTTTGGCCAGGAGGTTTTCTCTCCCAGCTGGACATGGGGCAAGAGCAGGTCTCTCTGCCCCATCTGYGGAGTTCTGGGAACACACATCATTCTCTGGGCACCCCACTGTGTCTCAGCTCACATCAGGGGTGGTGATGTGAGGGGTCTCACATCCTTTGTGGTGCCATTGTGATGCGAGCAGCCCATGAGCCCGGGGGGTAGACAGGGGCACCAGAGGAGGGTGCTGGGGCAGGGATGCACCCACYGTGCAGAGTGCTGTGCTGGCACAATCCCCCCCTTGTTGAACTGCTGGCGTGGCAGAGGCTGTTGTGGTGCTGCCGGCAGCGGGTGGCAGGCGGTGGGGTTGGGCTGCTGTGAAGGGCTTTTTGTTTGCCATCAGTTGCTGTTATAAATCAAGCCAGGCAGCCCAGCCCTGGCCCAGCACTGCCCCACGGCAGGGAGGTGACCAGTTCCTAGCCACTTGCAGCACAGCCCCATCAAACCCCAGCCTGTGCCTGGCATTGCCCTGGCCCAATGGGGATGTTTGGTGTGACATGGGTGAGGTGCCTGATTAGTCTGCTTGCTGTTCTTCCACCCTGCATTGAAGAAGCCTGGGATACGGGGAATCTTTCCGTGTTCATCCCAGGCCATGGCTCCCACAGGCTCCCCAGAGTCTCTGCTCTCCCCTGGTGTTCCCAGTACTGGGAACATCCCTTTCTCTCTGGTTTTAATTTGGTTTTGGTTCGAATTGAGCTGAACCCAACATTTTTCTGTGCTTCCGGCACGCTGTGAACTCTGCAGGGGCGGCCGCTGCTCCGTGAAATTGATGTTCTCATCCGCTTCACGCGTCAGCAGGAATGAACAGCTGCTGGGGGCTGCTGGCCCCCGGGACTGCTCTGTGCACCCCTGCACCCCAAGGGGACACCAGCACTCCAGGTGGGGAGCAACACRGGGTGGGTGGCACTATGGGAGATTGTAGTACCAACCAGATTTCACAGTGAAACCGTGTCATGCTGGAAGTTGCTGGTTTGGCACATTGGAGCAGCATGGACAAAGCTGTGCCCAGGACTCACAGTGTGGCCCTAYGGAATGATGGGTGACAGTGACAGTTACCCCACTCACACAGCCTCAAGATCAACACCACGCAAGGGCAAGGCAGTTTGTGGGGTTCAACACAGCCCTGGAAGGTCTTGCTGGGAAGCAGAAAGGTCGCTAAGCAGAGAGCAATGCAGCAAAGGGGGAGCAGCTTTAGGGCCAGACCCTGGCCATGTGCTGGGGACACTGTCCCCTCCTGACGGCAGCAGGATGCGCAGGGGAAGGTGTTCCTTAGGATCACACCAGCTCAGAGCATCTGAGGCCAGGCTTCCCCSAGTGCCAAGGGRTCCTGTGAGGGMCAACGGGCAGCAAGGCCAGGGCAKGGTGGGGTCTGWCTGCCCCAACCCAGGCAGCAGCATMGGTAAGGTGAGGGCGAAGTGTTTATGGAGCAGATTAGGCCGCTCCAACGCTGGCTCGCAGCTTAGCTGTGTTTTATGACACTCGGTTATGGGCTCCTAATGAGGGTCACAGCCACTTTATGGCACCGACAGCGATAACACTACAACTAATTATGGCACAATTAGCATGCGGGCTGCTGGGCACCCAGCAACGCTTAGCACCCAGCCTGAGCCATGTCACCTGCTTGGGGCTTGAGTGCTCCCWCTCCAGCAATTGGGGTGAAACAGGAGTGGCCTTGCAGCCTGTCCCATCTGCTGCTCCTSACGCGTGGGGTCTGCCTGGGGGGCGGCACAGGGGAGCAGCGCCGGGTGTTTCGCAGCCCCCTGCATTCCCCACCCGCGAGGGGAGGCTGCGGTGGGGGGGCCAGGACGGAGGGGGCCCGGGGGCCGCTTCTCACTGCTGGGGGGGCCGGTGCGATCCCCCACCTGCCCCGTCCAACTMGGCGGCGGGTCGGTTTGCAGAGCTGCCGGCGGAGCGGGGCCGGTCCCCGTCCTCCCCTCCCGCCTCCCCAGCGCTCCGGGCGGGGCCGCTGTAACCCGAGCGCGTCCCTACAAAGTGCCCGCGCCCCCGCGGCGGCGGCAGAGTGGGGCCGGAGCCAGCGCGGAGCGAGCCCCAGCCTTGCCCGCAGCCGGAGCCGTCCCGAGCCCAGAGCCGGAGCCGGAGTGGGAGCCGTCCCCGGCCCTGCCGCCATGGGGCCACGGTGCGGGGTGCGGCGGCGCTAAGCCCGCTGCCCCCGGACTTTGCCCCGGCCCGCGCAGCGCAGGCGGCTCCGCCGCGGGAGCCCGTCACCTCCGGTAACCACGCCGTCCGCGACCCTCACCCCCGGGACTATTCGCCCCCCCCACACCCCGGGCACTCTCCCCCTCCCTGGGATCCCCCGCGGTCCCCCGCCCCGGTTAACCTTCCCCAGAGCCCTGACCCGGCTGCCGCTGGCTGGAGAGGTCGGGTTCCCGGCACCCAAGCGGGGTGTTTCCCACTTTCCGTGTCCTCTCACAAGGGGGAAGGCATTCTGCCCTCTGCTCTGCCTCCACTCAGGGCGCACCCACCCTCGCGGTGCCCCGGGGACCTCGCACCGCTGCCCTCCGGTGCCTCGGGAGGGGAGGGGGCTGCCCGCCCGGATCCGCTCACCCAACCCTGCCTGTCCCGCAGGGTGGGGTCCCCCGTGCCCGGGGTGGCCTGGAAGATGCGGCCCCTCCTGCAGGTCGTGGCGGGGCTGCTGCTGGCGGCGGCTGCACGGGGCAGGGCGATGGAACCAGGTACGGCTGCGGGGAGCTAAGCGGAGCCGGGGGGCAGCAGGAATGGGGTCGTGCTTTCGCATCCCAGCTGGGCGGCGATCCCCGGGCTGGGATGCGGGTGCTTGCCCTGGGCACGCAGCCCCACCGTTCTGTCTGCAAGGCAGGGCTGGCGGGAGCTGAGAACATGGCACGGGGACCAGCATTTCCATCAGCGACAGGACAGGGTGGCTCCAGCCAGGCTGTCCCTGTGCTGCGGGGGCTCGGCTCGCTGGGTGGACACACGTGGCAGAGCGGGGAGGGCGAGACCGCTCTGGGCTGTGGCCGCTGTGTGTGGCTCCTGGCGAGGTGCGGGCAGTCTGTACCTCGGGAAAGTGGGTGCAGGAGAAGGATGTGTCCCAGGGGACCAGACACCAGCTATCGCACATCGCTCCTGTGCTGGCCATGCACTGGGCTGGAGACACACTCGTGCCCTCCAGGCTCCCGCACGTGGGCAGTCGAGCTGCGGTGATATTGCTGTCCTGCAGCCAGGTTGTTTCTGCCCTCCACGTGCACACTCTGCTGCTGGCCATCGGCTCCACGGGCATC